AGCTGAGATGAGTTTTAGGTGCAGCTAATGGCAGCAGGGGAGTGCCATGCTTCGAGTGGCCCATCACCAGCAGCACTCCAGTGCTTTTGCACCATTCTTTGGGCCACTTCAGCATTTGAGGCTTGTTGAGTGTCTCCAGGAGCTCCCTTGTGAATCTTGGTTTCCAGCTTAGCTTTGGACATGAAATGTGATTTTGAAACTGTGTATTGGAAGCCCAGATCTTTCATAGAAACCTCTCTCAAGAGCAGTTTTGGATAACCAGGCTTCATCTCTTAAAAACCAAGCAGGTTTATCTGTGAAATTAGGTAGTGGTTGGTACTTTTTGCTTTCAGCCTGTTCTGAATTTAACTGTTTTGTGTAGCATAGGGATTATTTCTCATAGCAAATGCTGTTAACTAGGTACGTGATGAGTCCTATTAGCTGTGAAAGATCTAGTTGAGTTTTTCAGGGGCTGCTCTGTTTTGTTGATGCTTCCCCTTTCAGAAGAACATACACAGTGTGCTTGGAGAAACCAGTCTGCATTCTTGGACTCAACTTGTGTTCTAGAATTCACTTGCTCCTGTAAAAGTGACTAATTTTGAACATAAATGATGTATAGGAAAAAAAAAAGTTCAGGTCACCTGCAGTGTAGTCAACTTAGCTTGGATCTTCCTAGGGTTTGTCTAGGAAATGCAGTGTGAAGGTTGGAAAGGAGAATATCTACATGCAGCCACCAGAACCTTTAGGGATTCCACTCCTCCCTGGCTTTACTTAGTTCTGGTTACTGAAGAAGCCATTTTTTCCCTCTGTAGTCACCTCAGGGGAGTGGAGAAGATTTACCTTTTGAAGATTGCATGTGTCCAGCAGCCCTGCATGCCCTTGGGAAGGAGTGGGTCCTGCCCCCAGCCGTTCTGTAGGAGCTGGGTGGGATCCAGCTGCTGGCTGGCTGTCCTGGAGAGCAGGAGAACACCCCTGTGGGCAGTGTCCTCTGGGGTGAGCAGCCTGGGGGACCAGGCACAGAACTGCTCACTCAGACTGACTGGTGTGGAGGTGCTGCCTTCTCTACAGACAGATGGACCAGACCTTGGGGACAAAACCCACAAGAATGTTTACAACTGTTATTTCAAACTTGGTTTAAGCAGAAGACCTGACAGTGTTTTGAATTCTGGGATGTTGATGTTAATGCCTAATTACATTTTCCTGGTGGTAACTCAGGACTGAAGCAGCTTCTTGGGGCTGGGCAGCAGGTGTGTGTACACCCTGGGGAGTGTTCTCAGATACACATCAGAGAGCTGGGGCACAGGGTGGGAGGTTCTGAACTTCCGCCTTTCATTAAATTGATACAGTGGAAGCAGTTTACCTTTTTGATTTTTTTTCCTGCTTATTTTTCTGAGGAAACTTTTTTTTTTTCAGTTGTTTCTGGGCATTCATTGAGAATTTGGTGATGAATGAGCATGGAGGTGATGGTGGCAGGCAGATAAATCACAATGTGCAAATGTAAAACAGGTTAATCAATCGTATTGCAGAGCTTGGTTTTCCTTTTGCTTCAGTGTGAGATGTATGAGGCAGCTGTTTTAAATTTTGGATTTATCTTAATTGCTTAATGCTGTTAAAAAAACTACATTTTTGAGATCTCAGAAAGCAGCCTTGCAGCAGCCCCCTGTATCTTTTCTTTGCCTGGGGTGAGGCGTGCGTTACGAAATGTTTCCTTCAGCTGGTCAGAGGTTACCTCCTGCCCTTCCACCCCACAGCTTCTCATGTGCACTCGTGCTGCTGTGACTGGTGCAAACCATGCCATTGAAATGATCTGGTTAAATATAGTGCCTCCCTCCTGCTCCTGGCCCCCTTTTTTTTAAAGGTTATTTTTAATCAGATCATTCCAGTGATCCAGTTTATAGCGTAGCACTGTAAATGACTGTAACAGCACAGCTGAGTGCTCAGGGTTTTTTAAACCCAGCATTGCTTTGGATGCTAATGACATGTAACTGCTGCCTTTTTTTTTTCCCCTCACTTTAGGATGATATTTTTGAGGCAGTTCAGAGTGGGTGATGAGAACTTGAGTGTGAGGGGAAAGTATCTGTTGCTGTAATAAAGCGATTCAATTTAGGATTCCTACTCAAATAAAATCTGGGGCACACTGAAGCAGTGGCCAGCCTGCCCATGCCCCATGGGGAGGGGCTTTTCTCCTGGGGAACCCCAGAATACAAAATAACTTCAGGTATCTCAGTGGAAAAACTGCTGAAGCACCATGGCTTGCTGTCTGCAGAACTGGGGGCTGCTGACTCAGGAGCTGCTTAACAGACAATTTATGTGCTCATTTTGCCACTTTTTTTTTTTTTTTTTTAAGCTTTTATGCTTCAGGCTCTGTGTGATGAGTGAGGATGAAGTTGTGTAAGAGGGGTGAAATTCAGAAGATCTTTACTTCTTGCAGACACTGCAGTAGGTTGCTAAGCAGGAATTCTGCTGCAGTTACTTTCCAGCATTAGTGCTGCTCTTAGGTTGCTGTTACTTTACAGATCAAATATTTTGATGCCTTAATATTTTTATGTAATGCAGCAGTTGGATCTTATAGTGTCTTTAGGATGACAGAAAAATGCTTATTTAGCACCAGAGATCTTTGTGATAACTAAATACACATTTGCTTATCCTCTGCATTGCAGCTGAGAGAGCTTCCCTTCTTTGCTTTTACTTTCTGGTAGCAGTGTTTTTGAGGGAAAAAAGTGAAGATAAATAATTTTTATTCTGTTCCTAATAGTTGGAAATAGACACACTGTCTTTTAGTCTTTAGTTGATAAACTGCTGAATAAAAGCAAACAAAGCATTTACATTAGGCCTGAGTATATTTGACCACTTAAGAAAATCTTGGGTGCTGTTTAAATATGTTATTGCAATTTACTTTATCTGGAGATACCAAGCACGCTGCGTGGGAAAAGGTTACAGAAACAATTAGAGTTTTTTAGTTTTTTTTTCCTCTCATCCTTCTTCTGTGCCATTAGCCACCAAAATGGTTTAAATGAATGTTCTGCAGTGTAATTTTGCAGTATATGTTTACCTCAACAAAGTTACCTGAGTAGTGCTCTCCTAGAATTGATGCTCTATCCTGTTTGTTGTAGTGTTGTCATTTGTGGGTTTGTGTGGGAAGCTGTATCACAGAAGCTGTTGGGGGTTTTTAAAGCATTTTTGGAGCTGTTGTTTAAACCAGCTGGTATTAACAGTCTCTGCTGTGCAGCCTCACAGACAATTGCATCACTGGGAATCGTGTCCATAGCATGGAAGTAAGGGACTTGAGCAAGTAGGATCTTGAAATTTGTCTGCAAAGCCACTTTTTGGTAGGATTTAAGGTACCTTAAGCAGAGGAGGTGTCAGTGAGCCTTGGCTAGCTCTGTGCTGGGGTGTTGCAGGGTTTGAGCTCTTTACCCTCCCCTTTGACAGCTCAGCTACTATCTCTTCAGTCATGAAAACGACTGTGATTGTCCAACCATGTCATCATCTAGTCTAAAATTAGGATGTAGAAGAGTAAAATGACCTAGTTTCCTGTTGTGGTAGATTTCCAATATGCCAAATGCTCTTGAGGGTTGGGTTTCTGGGTAGGTGATGAACTGTGGCTGTTGTTTGACAACTGTCACCCTGCTCGTGTCTGTCCCCAGCATGAAATTCTCAGCAGTGTATTTTTGGAGATCAGGAAATCCTTTTTTGACTTTACCTAGGCCGTGACTGGCTGGTACACTGAAAAATGAAGTAGTTGAGTGTTCCATTTAACCTGTAGGATTTCCAAAGAAATAAACTGTCAGCACTAGAGAACACCAGAAGGACCAAGTCTGGTCAGGGTGGTTGTGTGGTGCAGTAAGTGATGCTGGCATCCAATACTTTGTAAGAGGAGCTTTCTTGTTAAGCTGTTCCACAGACTTTGATCTTTCTAAAAGGTCAGAGATTGAGCATGGAAGTTGAATTAGCTAGAAAAATATCAGTATATTTTCCTACTTCTAGAAGTAGGAAAATATAACTGAGATGTCCTGAAACAAAAGTAGTGAACAGCAGATGAAACTGGTTGCATCAGGGGTTTAATTCTTTTCAGTTCAGAAGGAAGTGTTTCTTGTGCTTTCCTTGTGATGCTGCTGTTGTGCTAGAGTGGGAAGATAATTGTTAGGGATTCTTTTAATAGCTTTCTTTTAATGAGATCAAGGCAAATGTTGTAAAAAGTGTGATATGTGATAATGCAGAAATGGTGAAAACTTAGAGCTTAATTTGGTATGTTACTGTTACAGACTTTGCTTCCTTTGTGAGGACCTTTCTTCTTAGCCTGTAGGATCTTTGCCACTTTTGCATACATAAATTCTGCATGCTTTTGGCTAATGCCAGGGTTCTCTGTGGCTTTTTAGTTAAGCAGATTAGAGAACTGATTCTCCTGAAAATTAACCTAATGATTCCTTTTTCAGATTTTCCCCATGAAAAAGAAGTCTTAGTGTTCCTGAACAAATATTTTAGAGCTATTAATACAAATTGTGTTGGTGGGCACTTGCACAAAGGATTAGAAACTGTTTTAAATTCTTCCAAAGTATCTTAACTGATGCAACTACAGAGAATTGCAGTTGAGGCTCTCCATAGCATGGCAGTGTGTTTTTGCAGTGGGGTTTTTGTTACTGTAGCAATACAGTGACAGTAAATTCTTGCTGAGAACTGAGTTCAGCTCTGCTGTTCAGGCTGAAGGAGATGTGCATTGAGCGTGCTTCTCCCGTTAGGGGGAATGTGTGTTTCCTCAGAAGTTAGGACTAGTCATGAAGGTAGATTATGGTAGCAATGTGAGGTTGAAGCATTTGTCTCTTAGGGAAGTATTTACAGTTTTTTAACTCTGAAGACAATTTTTCTTGGGTGCTATTTCTACATGACAGTTGCATGCTTGTGTGATGTGTTACACTCTGTGTTTACTGTGATATTTTAGTACCTCATTTCCTTAGAAGTAGGAAAAAAAAGCAGTAACCTGATTTTGGCTCTTCATAATAACATTTTTTCTTTCTTTTCAGAGCAAACTTGATGATTACCAGGAACGAATGAACAAGGGAGAACGTCTGAATCAAGATCAACTGGTAAAAAGAAAAAACAATACTCACCAGATTAAATAGTTTTGTGACCTTGGTGTGGAAGATGATGAATTTCACTCCCCCTTTCTCCTTCTGAGCTCTGACTTGGCCTCAGTTTTGTATTACCTACAATGTCTCAATTTTTCTGTTAATCTGAAACTTTCTGTAAATCTGAAAGAACGGGTAGAGGAATGTGTTGTAATGCTTTGAGGTCAGGCTGTAAATAAGCTGTGGTGAAAGCTGGCGTGTGTTATTAACCTAGGACTGCTGAAGGAACTAAACAATGCCTTTGGGGTTCTCTGGACATCATCCTTCCCCTTGCAGGAAATGTGCCCATGGAGAACTTCAGGAGCTTGGTTTGGTAGCTTGTAAACGTTGTGCAGCCTCGTTAAAGGTACAGCTTAGACTGAGGGCTCTGAACATCAGTTGCTTCCCCCTGTGTATCTGCCAGTGCAGCAGATGTGCTGCCCTGGGTCAGCTGCACGTGGTGGATGTGTGCCGCTTCTCCTTGCTGGGGCTGCTTCTCAAAGTATGGTACTGTGGAGCTTGACTCAGCAGCTTTCCAGTTGCTGTAAATCTAAAGCAAGTGTCAAATGCAGTTGGAGCAGGCAAACAAGCATGTTTAGGCCTGAAGAGACTACCAGATGCAGTCATCAGTGGTGGTCTGCTGATCATTTTAAACACTGAAAAAAGTGAAGGGGGGAAAACCCTACTCTGAAACTGTTGCAGCTCTTTGTTTTTTTAAAAGAAACAACAGCTTCCCTTGGTCCTTAAAGTCTTTTTTTTCTGTTTAGGCTTCACTTTGGTTCTTCTGTGCCAACTGAAATAGCACTGAGCTGTGTAGGCTTAGTTTTAATGGCATATTGTGAAAACAGCAATAGCTTTCTTATCTAAGGGATAATAACAGGGAAGATAACTGAAATTGCATATTGAGGAGGGAAGGTCATCACTGAGTTTTGTGAAGAGCACAGCCTGACTGCCATACTTCATAAAGATAAAGTCTGTTTTGTCTGGAGAAATGCAGAAAGTGTTTGTTTTCACTTGTCTTCTCATCATTCTTGGCTGATTTATAGAAGCGGTTTTGTAAATCACCTTATGTATATATGTGCAAGTTTTTTAGCTCTATTTTATATAGAAATCCTGAGAAGAAAGTAAATACTGTTTAGGTGCCTTGCTTTTCAGAGCAAGTAGGACTTTACCTCTTCTTTGGCTGAGTTGTTCTTACAAAGAACATAGCCATTATTAATTTTGTCACAGCAGGAACTGTAAATGTGTCAATTGTCTTGTGGTTTTTTTTTTTCTTCCAATTTGATTCTCTGATTTTTTTTTTTTCAGTACTGCAGAGTAGGTTAAGGGATTTGAATTGCTTTGGTGCAAATCAGAAGTAGCAAGTAATAAAGATTTCTGGAGAAGGGAACAGTGTGCTCTGTATAGCATTTTGATTTTTGGCTCTGTCTCAAGATCAAGTGCATAAATACTCCAGGCTTTATCTTTCCAGCGCTTCTGAGCTGCCAGATTACTCTTCTCCCCCATCCCCCTTGCCTGTGAGGTGGTTTTTGTCAGAAACTGGCAAAAGCCAGTTGTCATCCATGTGAGCATGTATAAGCATGTGCTTCAGCATATTTATCTAAGAAACTAGAGGCCCTAAATACACAACCTTCTCAATATTGTGGCCAGTGACAATGAAAATATGACTCCACATTGTGGTGGTCCCCCCAGAGGTGCCGTGTCTCACTTAGGGACTCCATGTGTGAGAGTTTGTTGGAAGTGTGCCGTTTGTCCCGGTTGTGATGCTTGACTTCAGTTTCTTTTCTTTCTAAGGATGCGGTGTCAAAATACCAGGAAGTGACAAATAATCTGGAATTCGCTAAAGAGCTGCAGAGGAGTTTTATGGCTCTGAGCCAAGATGTAAGTGAAGAGCAAGCGGTACAACGTGGGCTGCCCAGACACCTGGGCTTGAAACTCCTTCACTGACACTAGATGCAGCAGTTGCCTCTCTTTACAGAGATGAAATGCTCACGGTGTCCTGTATGTTTGTCTGTTTTCTTTTACTCCATGTGCTAGTTCGTGTCAGGTTTGCCGAAGACTATTCCTAAAAGATACTTCGGATGGACTACATAGAAGTATGGGAACAAATATGATGTGGTAATTTTCTGACAAAACACAGGGCTGAGGGTTTTCACTACTTTCTATTACCACAAGGTGTAAACTCTTCAGCAGCTGAGAGCACTGCAGTTCCTTCTTCAAGATTCTGCCTCTTTTGTGAATTACACATACAGTAATAATAGTCTGAAGCTACAAGTGGACACAGTTTTAAAAAAATCTCTTTTCATTTGCAACAGATCCAGAAGACAATAAAGAAGACAGCTCGCCGGGAGCAGCTGATGCGAGAGGAGGCCGAGCAGAAGCGCCTGAAGACTGTGCTGGAGCTGCAGTTCATTCTGGACAAGCTGGGCGACGACGAGGTGCGCAGCGACCTGAAGCAGGGCTCCAGTGGGGTGCCAGTGCTGACAGAGGAGGAGCTGACCATGCTGGACGAGTTCTATAAGCTGGTTTACCCTGAACGAGACATGAGCATGAGGTGGGCTTACAGGGGAGTGCTTCCTTTGTGTGTTCGTGCTGTGGTAGCTTAAAGACTTGGTAAGAAATTAACTCTTCCTCATTTTTTTAAGGTTGAATGAGCAGTATGAGCAAGCATCTGTTCACCTGTGGGACTTACTGGAAGGCAAGGAAAAGCCAGTTTGTGGAACAACCTGTAAGTGTAGTCTCTACAGCACAAAAGATAGCACACTGAATTTGGGCTTGAACTGAAATACAGTGTCTGATATGAGAGAACTGTGACAGTTAATTAACTTTGTGAGTTTTTAACAGTAGCTGCCTTTTTTTTTTTTTTCAGGCCTTAGATGGACTGTAACAATAACTTACTGAAGTATGAACTTGCTGGGTGTAGTCCATTGCTTTTAAACCAATGCAGCATTACTCAGTATTTAAGCTGAGTGCATTCCT